TATTCTGTTTTTTATAATAGTGTCTAATTTGTTTATTTTTTGTAAAACTACAACTATTTTCTATATAAGATCCACACAGAAAATTAAAAACTTAACACTTTTTTAAATTAGTTAATTATTTTTGATTTGCACATTAGTTTATTTATTTAAAAAGTGTTCTTTTGTGCAAAACCTTCTGCCTTGGTTGGGTCTGTTTTAGTGAAGCAACTAAGTAAGTAAACAATTATTATTAGCTTTGATGTGGCCTGAATAGCACTCAATTAACAATGTGGCTAATGAGCCCATTAAGGATGAAAGTGTTCTCAACAGGTACGAGAGGATACTGCTGTTTTTGGAGTCTCAGTTCTCAGCCCTGAATGCAGCATGAATAAGGCTGTTCTTTCTCAATCCCTTCAAAGGCCAAAGCTCCACAATYCCAGTGAGCAGAGTTAAATAAAGTTTGCTTGCATCAAGAAAAAAAAGAACTTTAAAATATTTTTACGGTGACAAAAAAAAGTTTGAGAAACAGCTAAACAAAGTTCTCACACAGTGAGGAAATATACTCCAACTCCATTTGTTTAATACATCAAAGTAAGATTTTAATATTTTGTTTCCTCTTGCAGCTGGAAGTTTAAAATCCATTTGTTTATATTCAAAATTTAAGCAGARTTTGCTTCAGTTTTTGTTGAATAAATATCATCTCAAAGTGATTACGCTGCAGTGCAAACAAGGCTTGTCTGCTGCAGCAAAAGCAAGGGAAAAGAATGAAAGAGGGGCTTTCTGCTGCGGCAGCGTTTCCACTGAAGGACTTCCCACTGAAAAGCCTCACGCGTGAATTATTTCCACATTATTTGCTGCTGGATTCCAAAAGTTCCTGTTAGCTGGCAACAACACTTTAGTTGCTGCCTGACTATTTCACACAAAGCTATTTACAACGATTTACTATTTAYATTTACATTCACTAAACACAATAAGGAAAAGGTGAAGAAACTGTAACCYCGTTTTAAAATAATAAAACTATTCTCCATGTTGTATAAATATTTTGAAAAATCATTTATTGTATGTGTGATGTAGAAATATTTTTTTTCCAAAAACAATGTAAATAATTACCTGATTTTATTCATTTCATATGTACTTATATGCAAAAAGAAAGGTTTATTTTGTTTCCACATTAGAACATTGCATTAAATGACTTTATCTATTTGTAAAAAGCTGCTTGTCTGCAGAAGTTTTCGAATGTTATCATGAGTTTCAGCTCAAGAATACCTTGAGGTGTTTTGTGTGTGTGTGTGTGTGTGTGTGTGTGTGTGTGTGTGTGTGTGTGTGTGTGTGNGTGTGTGTGTGTGTGTGTGTGTGTGTGTGTGTGTGTGTGTGTGTAAATCCGTCCAAAGCTGCCAGTACTGACATACACAGCATATGCTAAATACAGATAAGAGAATTTTTTTAATAGATCGGCAAAAAAAAGTCTCCCCGCATAGCTCAATGGATGTGCTTTGAATGTAGTAGATAAGTTGGCTTAAGCTGAATGCTGGATCCCAAAGCAACATTGTGCTACTGGGTGAGCCCATCACAAAAACTAGCCTTCCAGTAAAGACCACTTCCAGGGGAGGCGGAGGGATTAAAGAAAAGCCTTCGAGATCAGCTTCATGTCTTACTGGACTTTATGATTATTAATAGTGCTATGTGACAGAAAAAAATAAAATGGGCACTGGGAAGGATCATATGGAAAAAATATCTTTAAGCCATTTCTTTACATACAATGTAAAAAAATGGAGGAATGCTGTGTGGGATGTCTTGAAGTTTTTCTTAATTTACTTTTGAAATCCTCTTGTTTTGAATTCATTCTCTTCTAATTGCTTACAGATTACTTAAAATTTTATAGATTCATTTAAATATTAGGATCTCATTCTTAAAGAGATTGTACAGCTTTACTCAGCAAAATAGAGATAAAATGTTTGAATCTTGATCAGTGTGGTTCAAATCAATGTTGCAACGATACTCGTGTGGTTGAAAATTGGACAACCAACTGTTGTTTTTGTATTTTCCTTCTAAGATGATTAGTAATTGTTGACTTTCTTTATGACAAATTTGTTATTTCCAAGCAGAAATGTATAGATTGATGGGTGGGTAGATATATGTATGGGCTGATGGGCAAGTGGGTAGATGAGTAGATGGTAGATGTATGGGTAGATAGATGGTAGATGTATGGGTCAATGGGTAGATGGGTGGGTAGATAAATGGATAGATGGTAGATGGATGGGCAGATGGTGGATGGGTTGATGGGTAGATAGATGGGTAAATGGTAGATGGATGAGTAGATGGGTAGATAGATTGGTAGATGATAGATGTAGATGGATGGGTTGATGGGTAGATAGACTGGTACAGTAGATGATAGACGGATGGGTAGATGGATAGATGGTAGATGCATGGATCAAGATGGGTGGGTAGATAAATGGGTAGATGGTAGATGGATGGGTAGATGGGTAGATAGATGGGTAAATGGTAGATAGACTGGTAGATGATAGATGGATGGATTGATGGGTAGATAGACTGGTAGAAGGTAGATGGATGGGTTGATGGGGAGATAGACTGGTAGATGGATAGATGGTAGATGTATGGGTCAATGCTTAGATAGATGGTAGATACATAGATAAATAGATTGTAGATAGGTAGATAGGTGGATGGGTAGAAGTGTAGATGGGTTGATAGATAGWGCAGCAAGTGTTGGACTAGCTTTGTTTCTTTAAGCTCTCCTCAGGTCATCTGATTATGTGGCTGAAGAAATGAGAGGGGCAGATAAGCCTCTTTTATGCTTCCAAGCCACTTAAAGAGCTGAAGCACCAGCTTCTGTTGCTGCACTCTAARGGAAGAAAACAAGTCATTTGTGTATGACAAAACTGCTTCTCTCTTTCTAAAAAATGTGTCTGTTTAAATCCTGAACACATAGTTCACTGTTTTGACSGTTTATGTTTATTTTGTGCTGACAACTGAATGAACTTTCAATRCAGATTTGTGGGTTAAACTGTGTCGAAATACATTGTGTGTTTGTTTCATTTTGCAATTCATGCTTCCTTTTATTTTGAGTTTTGATGCTTTGGATTGCCTTGAATTTGGGTGCATTGCAAATAGCATCTGAAATTGCATCTCATTCAGTAATATGGAAATATCCTGAGTTCTTCTTGCATGTCACGGGGGCATCTCTTCTCTGCCTCCTTAATAAGGCAGTTCTGCAGGCCTCTACTGTAATATATTTCCCCAATAAAGCAATTCCARAGCCAGCCTGACCTTTTGACCAGCACTGAGAATGTGGAAAGCAGCAGGCTGCCTTTGCTAACTAGGCTTTACTCTCTAATATTAGATACCTGTCCCTTGGCTTTTCAGAGAGGGGGGCTTAGCAGTTGATATTTTCATTTGGTCCTGCCAAGATGCGACACCCCCCACTTTAATCTTGTGTTTGACGTTAAGCGCTCTGTTCATGAAGAGTCTTGGTGAACTTCAACCTCGGGGTGCTGCTGTCATACAAAAAAAAAGATGCAATTGGGGGTGGGTGAGTGGAGCTACTTGGTGTTTCCTTGACCTCTCCCATTGGCCTGCCAAAGTCTTTCCCCTGGCCTTCTTAATCAGGTGGGACCCTCCCTTTTAGAGTGGAAGATTGTATATTCTCTGCATCCAGCTTTTTTATACTCACTGGGCACAGATGCCCGTGAATAAAGACATAGGAGGGACTTTTATTT